GTGAATCGGTACTTACTGAACTAGCGTGTGACATTCGACCACATTTTTACTTTAGTGTAGATGGGATCTTGGTCAAGCGCTGGTTTTTATATAATCATACGAAGATTATGAATGTTTTTGACTTTTATACGCAAACCACGAAGCATGTAAAAAATTATATCAAGAACAAATTGAGTAAGTAGAAGTTTGTCATGGCGTACGTGTGTATCATACAAAGAGGTTGCTAATCGCGGCCTGCCGGCGCAGCGCCCCCTATTCATTGCCTCAATTTAGGTCAAACCCACTCTCATTTTATTCATCGGCCGGTGTTTTATGTCGGCACATTGAATTTCTATTCACTATATGTGTTAAGTGGAGTATGAATTGGATAATTTATTAAATATAAGCCCTTAAACCTATTTAGATAAGCATGAATAGATATTATAAATTTTAAATACCATTTATTTTATGGTCACTAAGTTAAGTACTCCAAGTTTGAACTTAACCATAAGTTACTCGACGTACTTAAAGCAAAATAATTCAGCACACGACTTGCTAAATTTTAGTTCAAACTTGAATACGAAAAATTTCGAGAGTATTGAACAAGTTCTGCAAGGAAATTAAAGTCGTGATGAAAATAGGAGGTTTTTTTATTGTTATACGGACACACTTAGCAGCTATTTGACATCTCTGAGTGAGGCAGTAAAACAATATAATTTATTTACAACGTGAATGTTAAATTAAACGTAATTGAATGAAGTTTCAGACCCCTTTGTGAAGCGATGCAAGGAAATGCATTTTATTCCGACTATTTCACATTTTGTCTGTGCACAGAACGTTCAAAGCAAATAATCTGCTAACGCTCCCGGTGGATACGAAAATAACGAGAAACTACGATGTAATTTTGTTATTCGGCACTCATAAAACTTTTCTATTTCTTTTTTTCATATATTTGAATATAGCATAACGAAAACTTTACGTGAATTTTGTTTATCTTTTGTATTCGAACATCGGTTTATGTAAAATTTTTGTATTTTTTTCTACGCTATGTAAACTCTTAAAAATAAAACGAAACAATGTAATCGGCTTTAAGAATTCCATTTTGTTATTAAAATATTTACGCAGAACTTAAAAAGCTCGTATAAAATTTAAAAGCTTGGGCCTGAATTTGAAACAATTTCAGGGAGACTGTTGCTTCCTTAATTGAAATATCTTTAAATCGTCTGTTTTTACAGTTTCATTAAATCGATGTATATTTTATACTAAATAAAATTTTTGATAAGCAATTAGTAATTTGAAAAGGTTTACTTCAATTAGAGTTATGTTATGATATCACGGACATTAAACTGAAATATAAGGTTACTTATATTCTAATAAAATTATGTTTTGGTCTATGTTACACTTGCCAAAGTTTGAGAAACCATTAAAAAAAACAATAACCTAACCAATTAATAACTTTTAGTTGAATTAACTGACCCAAATATTTAAGGTTAGTCTGTGAAATATTTATAAAAAAAGAAAATTAAAACAGTCATTTAAAAGTCACCCCGACGACACTCGCCCCTAAAAAGTATTCGAACGAGCTCCGACACTTTACTACGGAAGTTTGTAAAAAGTAATTAGTAGTTACACTTTTGAGGGAATTACGATCGTGTAGATGAGAATTTTTCTGCCTAAAATGAGATTCAAGACCTTGTAAGATGAGGACTTTTTATAAAAAGGAGATTCAAAGGACACGAAAAAAATTGTAGTGCTTTACTTTTAATATTTAAAGCCAGCTACAGACGTTCAGTTTCATGAAGAGTATTATCAAAAAGAAACAGTGGTAGAGCCCGCTTTAACATCTTCGCACGAATCGGCCGGCTCGCCCGGTGTAATACCACGACCACACAGAAAACAGGCGGGAAGTGGACGCAATTCCGCGTTTCGTCTGATGAGTGTGGTGCCGGAGGCCTAATTTTATCCCTTTCCCTTTCCACCCTTCTCTTAAGAGGTAAGGATGGGAAGGAAACGTGGATTTGACAGTGAAGGACACAGATAATGCATTACTATACTAGTAATACCTTAAATTGATATCTTAATTAAAACACGATACCTTGTGTGGATATGAAATCAAATAATTTATCAATTACTTTAAAAAATCTGTAGGAAAATTTTTTTCCAACTTTTCTTGATACGTAATTCAATTTACTCTCACATTTAAGAAAAAAGTTATGATTGACTGTAATTTAGTAACTTTTCCGTTCGTAAGACGAGCTTTTTGAGTTAAGTTAATATTGTCGGCTGAAGTAATTTACGAGGAATTGTGAGTGCGAACCAAGTGCTTCTAGGAATCGCTTAGCTGCTTGAACAACTTGTTTAAATGCCATTCAAACTTAAATAATTTACTATTATATTTGTACACCTGGTAAATGAATAACTCTTAATGTTAAAAGACAGTAGAAATATCGTCATCTTGCCCTAGTTCTTACAGAGGGTCGGTACAGTACTGCTTTACAGCTCTAGTAGCTGTCATATCTTAAGTCTACCTCTAACACACAATCCAATAAACTTTTGCGTTGCCATGGTTACTTAAATTCTAAACCAATAACACGTGGTTTTATTGTCAATTTAGCATTTGAATTTTAACATACTCTTATAATAAAATAATGTTGATATATGTTGCAGATAAGGCGTACGGAAACAGCTCTTTTGAAAATAAAAATCTTTATAGGTAGTTAACTATCACAAAGGATTTCATAGTGATCATTAAAATTTCTATTTGAAAGAATCTTTAGTTCGATGGTGATATCACACAGCACACGGTCTGTCTAATGACACGAAAATGATTCGTTCATTCAGAGCCGACTCTTTGTTTCTAAAATGGTTTTTAAACGATAAATGCTTCTCTTTGTTCAATTTGCCGTCCTTTTAATAACGCTTCAATGGTCTTTAAAAAATATACGACATATTATATGACTATCTAACAAACAAAATGTAATTTGATATGCAGTTCATTTAGGGTTTTTATATCTGTAAGATAGATATGAAATAAAACAACTTAAAAGACAAAAAAATTAAACGTAGCTTAGGTACATAACTTCGTATGGAAGTTAAGATCTAAAACTGTGAATTCCCGAAGCGTAGTTTACGATTTAGTTTTTAGTTTTGTTGCTACATTTCTGTGGTACCATTAACATTTAACTTTGTACGCTGGATGTTTGCGAGTAAACATTTCGCTTCGCCCCAACTCTAGTATGTTTAAATTTCTTTGAATCTCTTCAGCAATTTATTTTGATGTTTAAACAAACTACTCAAAGAGAATATTATACGTCGTATGAAAAAGTAGCTTTTCATTAACATTTTTTATTTCGTTCAACCATTCGGATAAAGTAAAATAAATTGAAATACAACTTGTAATGTTATCTGACGATGTCATACAAGTTTTCTTATTTAACGTATAGATTCGTTATATTTTATGATACGAAGTAATAATTTGTTTAATCTACACTAATAATATATTTGAACTCAGAGAGAGAAGTTAAACGCGAGTTAAACGCGAGTTAAACGCTTACCAAATCGGATCATAATCTATTCGAATCCTAAAGTACATATATCCATTCTTACCCTGAAGAAAAACATCATGAAGCGTCATCAAAAACATCATGAACATATCTGCGAAGGAATTCACAGATATGTGTGAAGTCAACTCGAAGTGGGCCAGCGTGGTTGACTATGGCCTAGTCACCCCTAGCAGTAGACAAAAAATATGAAAAAATTTAACATAGTTACTGAAATACAAAATGTTTAAAAAACAATGTTCGCCCGAGCGAAGCCGGGATAGAACACTGGTTATTAATTGTCCCTAATAAAGTTTATCTATCAAGTCTTTACAGCTTTACTAACGTTTTAAAAGCTTTTTTTTTGCTCTCGGATGATTTCACAGAGAAAAAGTGTTTAAAAGCTATGGAAATAATTACGTCGTTCGAAGTTTTCTGTAAAATTGATTATGTATTCTCATCTCTATCTAGATTTATTATTAAAGCCTTCGGGTATTTTGTATAAAGAAGATAATATTAAAAAGATTGTTATCTTCGTAATATATGAAAATAAATATTCGTTTGTTAAATTATTAAGAAGATTTTTTTTTGTTTGTGCTTGAACTGATAAGTTGAACGACTCTGAGTTCTGAAATATTTTACTGACACGTGTATATTATAGCAAAAATGCTAATATTAGAAATTGTTTAATAACGGCAATTATTTAGGGATCTTTTCAAGAAACGAATATTTTATAAATTTTCGTGTAGTAAATTTTCGTGCTATGCCCTCAGGCAACGATCGTATAAAGGTAGAAAAAACAATTTGTATTTATAATAACTTTAATATGTTAGTATATAGTTAATCTTATTTATTTCATAGCTGAATAATTTCATTAAAGTCGGTAGACGTGCCAGACGGATTCACCCGCGCCGACTAATTCCATACAAACTTGCTCCAACTCATACAAACTTCCAAATGTAATGCCAATTATATGTCAGGCGTCGTCAACCCCCTGCGCCCCCCTGCGTCCCCTGCGCCCCCGCCAGGAACCCGCCAGCCCGGCAGTAATCATTTTCTTTATGTAATTGTGATACTCTTCTCAAACTTTAAGACAATTTAAATTACGAACGGAACGTTTGGTCTTTGTTTTTGCAATTTAATACTCGTATAAGCATGATATTTGATTTTTTATAGACCGACAAGGATATCTGACACGGTGGACATTAGTCAAACTAAAGTAAAACAGCTCACTAATGCCCTTCTGTCAATATTACAAAAGTATCATAAGATCCTTTTCTTTGTTTCAGAGCTGCGGTAGATATTCTCATCAGACCAGATTTTTTACTAGTACTATACATTAAACACTGTCGAAGTGGAACAATAATCTTGAATGACTTAATTCAAGTAAGATTAAGAGCGTACGCACACCTTTGACTAAACTATCGCACAACTGTTTAGTCCCGCTTTGATTCCTATAAGCTTATATGGTGTTGCGCACACTCGATTTTAGGTTATGTAACTAAACAGTTGAATTGGCTGCAAAACAATTGACAATCGCACAACAGTTGTCCGATAGTTATAATAGCAGGATTCGATTTATAAATCTCGTGGTACAAAATCGACATAGAGAGTTTCTCCTGGCATGTAGAACAAACTTTTCTTTTCAATTACAATATCCCGGGGCAGATGTGAGTCAGGTTTGGCGACAATCTTATAGTTTATAATAATATGGGCGAGGGCGCAAATAGCGTTCTGTACTCCGAATCGTTTACCTGCGGAAATAATATATTTTAGTAGCTGTTGCTCGAGACTTCGTACACGTGAAAATAAAAAAAACATAGCCTATGTTACTCACTGATATCGTAGCTTTTTAATGGTGTAAGAATTTTTCAAATCCACCCAGTAGTTTTTGAGTTATTCCAATACATACAAAAATACAAATCTTTTATCTTTATAATATTAGTAAATAGATATTTGACTGTATTCTCTAACAAGATATTCTAATTGGCTAAAATCCGAATTGTTTTATGATGATAAGTGTAGCTAAAATCTACATGTAGAGTTTAACGATTTCAAATCGGTCCAAAAATTGAATATAAAATTTAAACTATTGTAGTTTAACTTTTATATTCAGACAATACAAAGACACATTAAAATATTACCTATACAAAATCTGGGGCCTTCACCAAAAGGTAAATATGTAAAAGGTGTGTGTTTTTTCTCATTTTCAGGTAAAAATCTATCAGGATCGAATTTCTCTGGATCCGGGTAATATATAGGATCGTACTGCATACCGCCGGCGTTCACGTACACAGGCGTGCCCGCTTTTATTGTGAGGTTCTCATCGATTCGATAATCTGTAGACGCCACTCTATCTATCCAACCCATTGGTAAGTATTTCCTGAAACATTCTAAAACGAACGTTCCCACAAACATGATTTAAGATATGTTACAGATCATGTTTTGTAATTTTTTTTCTAACCTTTCAAAGCGGCATTAAGGTATTTAATCTCATGTAAAACTTCTGCATCCACATCTCCGTTAAGTATTCTGTCTTTAATTTGAAGCAGTTCATCGTAAATTTTATCCTAAAACATATGCAAAGTATAGCAAGTAGCATTATTTAGTTTCATTAGCTAAGCAGCATAGATCAAAGGAGGTGATGACCTGGTATTGTGGGCTATGAGCCAGTTCGTATGTGCAGAACGTCAGCGCGGAGCCCGTAGTATCGAAGCCGCCTTGTAGAATTGCCGCCGCTTGAGCTATAAGAATATCTTCAGGCATTTCTGCGAAAAATAAACTCATAAACTAAAAGTTTTACCCGAAAGGCGCTCACAGACTGCAAGGAATGACTCTTGTAGTCTGTAACGCAGATCTCTAGCGACATAAACATAGTTTGATATTAAACTGAAATGTTCCCAGAAACAGTATCTAATATCAAGAAATTTTTAGGTACTATTCTGGGGTCGTTGTACGTATCAGTTAGAATGGATTGTTAACACAAAATTTGTAACACATTATTTACTTACCTTCATTATTTTGATCATAATCTTGTTTCATTTTTCTCAATGCATCAAGAAAGTCCTTATTTTCTCCGATGCGAACATTGTATCCACCTCTTTCGTCGACTACTTGCTTGTATATTTTCCTGAAGTAATTCGATGCTTCATTTGGGAAAAATGAGAATCTGCAATTGTATATATCCTTTTTTGATATGATAAATATTCAATTAAACCACTTGCGATTATCTCGTTCTTTTAAATGCAATTGCGTGGCGTAGACACGAATAAATTAAAAAAAAAGTTGATATACCCGAATACGTCAACCAATTCCGGTATGAAGAAGATGCAAGCCCAGGCGAGGCCCCTGAGGTAGGTGAAGGTCATGAAGCCTTTGGTAATATCACGCAGGGGGCTCTTCCCCGTCAGCGTGGCGTCGCCGCGGACACCAAACGCTGATAAACCGACAACATCAGTCGTGTAGTCAGTGAACATCATCTAACAAAAAGACTGACGTTAAGACCGAAGAAAATTTATTACACCTTTCATATAGCAGATTGAGTTGTTCTTAATTTACAAAACTATTATCATTATGAATCTCCTTACCCTAAGATTTACGCGCTTATTACTCTCCATTTCAATCTTGATTCGCTCCACGAGTTCGCGGGCCTTTGCCACAAAGTGCTTGTGGAAGACCTTTAGCTTGGCTCCTGTGAACGACGGTGATAGACGTTTTCTAACTGTACTCCAAAACGGATCCTACGAATTATAAACAATAATAAGCGTGCGTTATTGATGATAAAGGTGCGGAGTATATTAAAGAAACGCACGTTTACAAGGAAAAGGTTAAATCCTCCAAGAGTGTCCTTTTTTCCTGAATTTAGAAATCTGTCCTTGAAGACTGCACAATCCTTGACTAGGATGCGACGCGCCAGCTCCGGCGTGTTGACCAGCAGCACTGGCCGCCAGAACCACCACAAGCCCACGTAAGGCTGATCTCGATTGTAAATGTGACGCACAAAGATACCCTGGAACAGACAACGTACTTGAGAATTATTCAGGTTTTACAAAGTTTTTATTGCATAAAACTATATGTTTATGGATTATGTGATATTTAAAGCAATGCTATGGCGCAAAGGTTTAATTAGCAACAAGAAGAATGTATTTTTATTAATTGTAACAACATAGTACCGGATTTTGTTTGAGCAGGAACGTTAAGTTGCCCAGCAGAGGATGTGGAGGTATAAAAGGGACATTTCTGTCCGCCCAATACTTTTTGGTTCGGTGCCATTTTGTGTACAGCCACATCAGTGCCAGTCCTATAGCGGCAAGTAGAAGCATCTGAAATTAAATCAGTATTTTACTCTTATTTTTAGTGTACATACAAAATACACTTTAACTCAACCTTCAAAGTATACCTTTTAAAATGTTAATTTAATATAATGATAAAAAAACTTCAGTATTAAAAACTACAGCAAAAACTATGTATTACCTTGATTTGATTACGTCTATCTCTTAAGACATCGAGCGCTGATCTGTTTCCAAGAAAATGGAAATACTTATTTTTATATTATTGTTAAAAATAAATCACTTTAATTCCATTAACTTGATATATGTATAGTTGTCGGCAGCTCTGTATATTCGCATAAATCACTCGTTAAAATGTGACAGAATAGATAACAGAAATAGACAGAATGTAATGTAACAGAAATAGTGTGGCCTTTACTTTTGTCCGCACAGAAACTCATATGGTATTTTAACTTTGGATTAAAAAGAGTAAAAATAATGTAACAGGAGCCATGTACAGACGAATAGTTTTGTTCAAGAATATTAGTAGACTAAGAAATTCTTCAAATTAAAATTACGAACATATTTAAGAGAACAAAAACAAATGTTTGAAAATCATTCGTGTTAATGATATTCAACTTTAGGTTAGTGAAAATTAAAAAATAACAGACTTAAATGCTGATGTAAATAATTTAATGACGTATCAATAAAATAATAGAAAAGAAGTTACTCAATAGACACAAAAATAACACATCTGTTGTGTGATGAAATAAAATTGAAGATTGCAAAGATTTTTTTATCACGAAAACAAAAACTCCCTGCGTGGTAAAGTAAATGAAGCTTGTGAATAAAGAGTAAACAAGGGTATTTTTTGCGAGACAAATAATGAACAAGAAAACGTGACGTGCAGAATATTAAACTGCGTAAAAATTTCGGAGCTCACGTACAAGAAAAGTTACAAGATTTTAGAATTAAACGCATTTATACCGTATCTTACTAATATTATGAAAGCGAATAGATCAGATCACGATAAAATTTTGTACAGACAGTTTTTTTTGTTTTTTATTAATTTCGCACGAGAGAAATCGCTGGCGAAAGCTAATATTTTAGATATGTGAGTTTGTATGTTCAATTAAGACTTCCTGTAGCCTCAATGATTGATCCGATTTTGAGTTAAGTGTAGTCGTTGAGTTGATTTTTTAAATATTCTTGTTGTTTTTTAACCAGTCTTATCCCGAATCGAAAATCGTAAATCCGTGTTATATTTGTTTACCTCTTGTGAAAGGATTTACAAAATAAAACCTCAATAAATATAAACACAAAGACAAAGTTATAAAGTCACAAAAAGGCAGCAAAGGGATAGAACTGGAGAGAATAAATAAAGGCTAGGATTTATTACGTGTTCTGAATAATGATGTCAATATTCCTGTTTAAAGGAATACTTACTGGTCGAAGGTTTGCTACGGACTTAGTATTAAAACGACTCACTTTTGTATAAGAAAAAATACTTTCAGTTTTAAACGCTGTCACATTTACATCTGTATGTAAATAGTTAATTAACAACGCCATTACAATTGTCGAATCGTGTCCACGCGATCACATAGATAAGACGAAAGGTATCTGCGTTGTTTGTAACAAAATTACCTAATGCGCATTACGAAACGAGATGATGTCGTATTCATCTCGTCCCCCACACGAGTACGACATAAAAAAACTACCAATAATGACTTCAACTTTCAAGCTTCAAGGTAGTGTGTACATATACTAATATTATAAAGAGGAATGATTTGTATTTTTGTATGTATTGAAATAACTCAAAAACCACTCGACCGAATCCAAAAACACTTTTTATTATTTTTAAAAAGCTACGTTATCAGTGAGTAACATAGGCTACATTTTTTTAATTTCAAGCCGGCGGAGTCGCGAGCAATAGCTAGTTTCAAATAAGAATGTCTACGTCATGGTTAATTTTTACTCACTGTACATTTCATTCAACAATTTTTTTTGAGATGCGTATGTTAAGATGGATGTGTGGTGTGACAAGAATGGATAAAGTTAAGAATGTGTATATTAGAGGAAGTTTGAAAGTAGCGCCAGTGGTGGAGAAATTGAGAAGCAAAATGTTAGCGTGATATGGACATGTTTTGCGACGAGACGATGGGGACATAAACCAGAAAGTGTTAAGAATGAATGTAGATGGCTACAAAGGAAGAGGAAGACCGAAGAAAGTATGGATGGATTATGTGAAAGAGGATATGCTT